GTTTTCCCAACGCTTAGAAGAAATAAATTATCAGATGTAGATGGGATACCAGTAGAATATTTCAAGCTACAAGTGGCTGAATCTACCAAAATCCTAATAAGAATAAGGCAGCATATAAGGAAAACAAAACAATGGCTTTGAGATTAAAAACATTCAATATACATTTCAACCCCAAAGAAAGGAGACATGTAGATTAAAGCATATGAACCTCATAGTAATTTTCCACAGTAAATTACAATATCTAGATTTTATGACAAATAATTCTACCATGCATATGGAGGAAAAATTGACTGATGTTCAAGCTAGATTCAGAAAAATATTAAAGATCATATTGCAGTTATACACTGGATATACGAGGGGGTGCTGATAAGTACTGAGCCTTACATAGAGCTAGGAAGCTATAAATTGCAGGGTGTATTGGTCAATTTGTCTATATTCAACAGTGCAAAAATCAACTACCTATTATTTTAACTTAACTTTCATTTTTCGGCCCGAAGTGAACATGGCAGCACCTCCAGAAAAGTTCAATGTGGAAGAGCATAGGACCATAATCAAGTTCCTGTTTCTCCAAGGGAAACGTGCAAAGCAGATCCATGATGAAAAGTCACAAACTATGGGTGACAGTGGCCCTTCATATGCAACAGTTAAACACTGGGTTGTCAATTTTAAAACTGGCTATTTCGGTATTGAAAGTGAGAAACCCAGTGGAAGGCCTGTTTCTGTCTCTGTGTCTGCAAATGTGAAAGCCATCCATGACATGATCATGGAAGACGGCGGAATATCAGCCAAAAGTATTGCTATATATCTGAGAATATCACGTGAGAGAGTTGGTGCCATTATCCACAACGACTTGGAAATGAGAAAGCTGGCAGCAAAGTGGATCCCCAAACTTTTGACAACCAAACAAAAGAGGAAACATGTAGAGTGGCTGTTTCGGAACATTCTGCAAGAAATTAGTGTTACTAAAGAATTTCAGAAGAGAGACTGTCTGTCTTACAACTTCAGTAAAAATGTACTCTGTGGATCATAAAATGCTATGGCTCTTTCTAAAAGAAATGGGTGTGTCATAAGACTTCTCTGTTTTGATGTGTAACAAGTACATTGGACAAGAATTTACTGTTAGGATAGACTATGGATAAAACAGAACAGTTTTGAATTGGCAAAGGCATCAGAAAAAGATGCAATTTTCAATCTATATGTACGTAGAGCATATCTCACAGAAAGTTAGGTTAGATTTAAATGAAAGTGGAATGAAAATAGGTGGAAGAAACATCAGTCTTATAGGATACATGCATGACATGACTACTGCAGGAAACAACTAGGACTTCAAATGACTACTGGTGAAAGTGAAAACAGAACATGCAAAAGGAGGATTATGACTAAACATTAAGACAACAAAAATGATGATTGCAGAATTACATAGTACAGCAATGAAGAAACTGAAATTATTTTAAAAACATTCCATGCAGTACTTTAATTAATCAAAATGGAGGTTCCAGACAAGAAATAATAGAAACAGGCAGATTTGGAAGCACATTAATGAAGAACTAGAAAAAAAATCTTCAAGTATAAGAATGTGTCACATGAAGTCAAGGCCAAGTTCATTTGTACTACAGTATTTCCACTTGTTGAGGAACTATCAGACATTTAGATGTACTGGTTCCTCTGGATATCACTGAAATGATTAAGATGAATTTGACTGTACTGTTGACTGAAATATCTCTTGCTACGGACAGACTAGCATTACTTATTACACATAACTGGTAAAACCACTTTGATTCAACTAATCCTTCATGGTCAGTCATTCTCTCATCTTATTTGAGGCTATTTTAATTCCAGGCTGCTTTAGGTTGTGTCTACCCAGCAGTAAAAGACATTCCCTGCTTACTATGTGGTGTATGACTTCCTGTCATACATTTCATATACAAATGCTAAATTAACTTTGTGGAATAATCCTGATCTGAAAACTGCAAGACAACTTTTTAAATTTTGTTTTTTGCTTTTTTGCTTATTAGAGGGTACACAACAGACCAACTGACTGGCCCAAATCAGGCATTTTTATAATTTTCAACATTGCAATTCACATACAATTTACCTTGTACTGCTGTATGGCAATATTTACAATTACAGTGGTGCCTCGCTTAGTGATTGCCTCGTTTAACGATGTATTCGCTTAGCAATGAGGTTTTTTGAGCAATTTTGCTGTCAAACCGACAGTTCAATGCATTCCAATGGGGGGGGAATTCACCAAAAATTAACGAAGAGTCAGAACAAAGCCAAATTAAGTTTGCAAAGGTTTTACAAGGTGCACTAACGATTCCAAGCATTTAAAACAGTTTTTGAACATTTTAAGACACTTTAAAAATAGCGAAAACGGACATCGCAAAACCACTGGAATGCACTGAATA